CTGGGGGACCCCCCTGGCCTGGGCAGCCCCTGGCGCCCCCCAGGGCCAACTGCTCTACCTCACACCCTCCCAGCATCAGGGAAGAGCAGCGGCCCCAGCCCCGCTGACATCCATCCCTGGCCACCAGCTCATCATGGGGCAGCCTCCACAGGTCATCATCCCCAGCATGGCCACCCCCGCAGCGGCACCCTCGGGCAGCAACAACCCACCACGGCACAGAGACGTCCCCCCCAAACCCTCTGTGGCCCCCAAAAACGACCCCCCTGTGGACTTGACAGAGGAGGTTTCAGTGTCTGAGGAGATGCTTCTCCAAGAGGCCCTACGGCTCTTTGGTTGCTCCCTGGATGCATTGGAGGTCAGCCAGAACGGTCCCAGCAGCAGCCTCATGCCTGGGGACCCTGGTGACAACAGCAAGGAGGGGAGAGCGGTGGCCCCAGCCTCCCAAGAGCTGCCCCAGTCCACGCCTGGCTCTGAGGACATCGAGGGGCCCCCTGGACACGTGAACATCTCAGGCATGGTCACCGCCATGGGGCCATCCCCAGGAAGCAAGACGCCCCCAGGCAGTGACGTCCTTCTCAGCCCCTCTGCTGACCCCAACGACAAAGGCCCTGGGGACCCGGACGATGACACTGCAGTGCCTGAGCTGGTGCCTCTCGAAGACACCCCAACACTCTTCAGTTACCCCCTGGACATGGTGGCATGTAGCCAGGATGGTGCCAGCAGCAGCTCCATGCCCCAGCACCCTGAAGCCACTGGCGCAGGCAGCCCCCAGCAGGACTTGGCCTCGCTCGCGCTGCTGGAGGAGCTGCTCAGCCCTGATGAGATGCTCAGCATCCCTGAGACCAGCGAGGACTTCCTGAAGCTGGAAGAATTCATCCTGGGACTGGAGAGCCAGGAGCTGTGGGGGAACGTGGGGATGGACCTGCCCCCGTCCCAGCCTGCCCAGAAGATTCCCCCTGCAGAGAAGCGGGGGAAGAAGCGGACGAGGAGCAGCTCAGCAGAGCCCCCCAGCAAGCGCAGGGCTCGGGCAGCCAGCACAGGCATGGGACAGGGGGCATTAGAGCCACAGCGTGATCAAGATGACGGGGTGTATTTGAGAAGGTCCCAGTCGCTTTGATGGGACAGATTGTCTTGTTTTATCCTATTAAAATCTGCTTCTCCAGAACGGCTCCCTGCCTGTGGGGGAGGGGGGGGGAGCGCAGGGGGCACAAGGAAACGGCACCCAAGAGGTGCAAATGTCCTGCTGAGCCCCAAATCAGAGCCAGCTAGTCCCAAAGTGCACCAAGGCCCCTGCAAGGCCAAGTCAATTGATTAATTCATCAGTGCTTTGCCAGATTAGTGACCCTGATACCCCTCAAAGAACTCCAGGGCCCTCGCTGGGACCAGATGCCTTTCTAGAGCAATCAGAGAGAGTAGATTTAGGTTGGACCTAAGGAAGAAATATCTTAAAGAAGGTGGTGAGACTTTGGCACAGGTTGCCCAGAAAACTTGGGGAACCCCATCATTAGAAGTGTTCAAAGTCATGTTGGATGGGGCTTTGAACAACACCATCTAGTGAAAGATGTCCTTTCCCATTGCAGAGGCTTGGAACTAGATTATTTTTTTCAAAGCCCTCTCCAACCCAAATCATTCCATAATTCATGAAAAGCCCCAGGACTGCCCCAGTGATAGCCCTCAGACTCCCTCCCACCACTCTGCAAACAGCACACCCACCCCAGACAGCCTAGGACTCCAAAGTTATCTGCAAAGACTTTTATTAGCCTCAAAGGATTAAAAAGTGGTCAAAACCCACAGCCAATGACTGCCGTGGGCCCTGGCTGTGCCACAAACAAGGCACCAGAGTTCCAATAAATAAGCAACGTCCCAGAACGGCACACAAGTGCTGTGCCCCCAGCCTTCCTGGCCTTCCCCTACCTCAGGAGGTTCAGACACACCTCGATGTGGGGTTGGACCTGGTCTCAGAGGCGGACAAGAAAGGCCAGGTTGAGGGCATCAGGGATGTGGAGCTCATCCAGGTGCAGGGGGGAGGCAGTGAAGGGCAGGTGCACAGGGAAGAGGTGGCTGGTGTCCACCAGGAGCTGGTTAGGTCCCCCTCCATACTGGTCCTGCAGCTGCTTCTGTGGGGACACAGTGCTCACATTCAGGGCTGCCCCACTGAGGGGGCCCATGCGGGACAGTTCCCCCCAGCACTACACGCCAGATCCCACTTACCTCAACACTGCTGATGAAGCTGGAGCTGACGCGCTCCTCCAGCCCAACAGCCGGGGTGTAAGCTCGGAGGATCTTCACAACCTGGAGGAGACGGTGGGGACCATGAAGAGGGAAGGGCTGGGCACATCCAGACACCTCTAGGTATGGCGTGGTCCCCACCCCAGTGCATCCCTGGTGCACCCAGGGAAGCCAAGGACCCCCAGGATTGGATGAGTGCCCAGCAGGCAGCAAGCCCCAACCGCCCGCAGTACCTGTTGGGGTGAGAGCACCGTGCACAAACTGCAGAGAGCTCTGGCATCCTCCTCCGTCACCTTCTTCACCTGCAGCAGCTGGGCAGCCTGGACCAGGGGCTCCAGCACCTCGCGGGCCCCACTCTGCTGCAGCCCCTCTGCCCGCAGCCACTGCTCCAGCTGACTGATGTTGTACCTGCCAGGGAGAGCGGGTCAGGGGGAGGCACGGGCCATGCCCCAGCTCCCCCAGATCCACCCAGTCCTGCACCAGGGACTGACCTGAGCTGGATGCCGCAGCTCCAGGAGCATGTGTCCTTTCTCAGCAGCAGGTAGTTGAGGGTGGTGCCACTGACGAGGAAGAGGAGCTGGCGCAGCGCCTGGTGCCCCACACTGGGGGCCAGCCCATAACGGTCCAGCACTGCACGGAAGGAGCCCAACTGCTGCAGCAGCTCAGGCAGGGTGTGGGTAGGGGCTGCTGAGGACCGGCGGTGGCCAGGAGGGCAGGAGGAGGACAAGCCCTGTATGGGCTCGCTCTCCAGCATTGCGGCAACTAAGGGGTAGAAAAGGCTCGTCATAACGAGGCAGAGACCCTGCGTTGTACCTCAAGCAGCCAACACACTGCTCCTTGGCCCTGCGTCACAGCTGGGCCGATGGCACCTCCAGGACAGCTGGCCCAGGGGCTGGCGCTGCTCCAGGAGGCTGCAAAGTGGGGCATGGGGGAATAGAGCTCACCCCACAGTCCCCAGGGTGCTGAACCTACAGCCACCTCCTCCGAGCCAGGATGCTCAAGGAGCAGATGGTCTCTCATAGACGGGCCCCCCCCAGTTCAGAGCCTACCTTCCCCCTCTGGGTACAGCCTCTGTAACAGAGCAGGCCATTGGCACAGCTGAGCCCAGCGCTCCCTCCCTGAACCAGTACCCCATGAGCGCCCTGCAAGCCCCCCAAGCCCAGGCCATACCAATCATGGGTTTGAGGTGCTTCTCAGCCGTGCGGATGAGCTGCTGGTAGAGCTGGACAGCCAGGGCACCCAGACTGCGGCAGGAGTTCTGGGGGTCCAGGTTCTGCAGGCGATGCTCGTTCTGCCGCGCCGTGTTCCCCTGGCAGTAGCTCTGCAGGCAGAGGCTGGGTCAGAACCAGTTGTACCAGGGGACACAGCTACATCTCCAAGCAAGCATGGAGCAGTGTCAGTCTAGCACATCCCCACCTATCTGGGTGGGGGGGCAACGAGGACACAGCCCCAGTGGGGACAAACTCTATCCCCACTAAGCTCCCACCCTTCCGAGGGAGGTGGCAGACCCCCCCGCAGCCCAGCCCTACCTCATCCTGGCTGTACTGGCGCAGGCAGTTCAGGAGCCGGCAGGTGTTGGCAAGCCAGAGTGCCACCATGTCAAAGTCACCACTGTGCTTCTGCAGGAGGGCACAGAGAGCGCTGGGGTCAGCAGGGTTATGGCTGCGACAACGGCAAGCCCTCACGTCCCACGGGAGCTGCAGGGCAGCCACACAGAGCTAGCTGCAGCCTGATGAGGGCGGGGGGGGGGTGTCCGAGCTCTCAGACCCTCCCCTCAGCAGCCCTGCAGCACCCAGGGGCACCCCCCACCCCAGGAGATGCTCAGGCTGGACGCTGCAGTCGGGCACACGCTGTGCCCTGGGCAGGGTGGGGGGGCAGGTTGCAGCCCCAGTGCCACCCTCACCTTTGCCAGTGAAGCTTCTGCTCCTCAGCCCAACCCACGCCCCCAAGCCCAGCACCTTCATGACCCTTTTGATAGCGTTGATGGCTGCATCCAGAAGTGAGCGGGCCCGTGGCTCATCGCAGCAGTGGTCCGCATGCCGGAAGCAGAGGAAGAGGATGTAGGCTGGCAGGTCTGGGAGCGCCCCAGGGCTGCTCTGTGGTTTGTAGTCTGCAGGGAAAGCAGGACAGTTGGGTTCCAGGCAGCTGTGGAAAGCTGGTCCTGAGCCAGCAACACTGAAAGGATGATCTCACACAGAGGTTGGCAAGAAACCCTAGCAGGGACCAAGCTGGGGTAAAGAGCCCCATCTCTCCAAACCCTACCTGTGATAATGGCCTTGATAATGCGCCCTTCATCCTCCATCCTCCACGCTAGCATGGCCTGGGACAACCCAGCCGGGGATGGGACCATGGGGGACCAGGACAGGACCACAGCGGATGCTGCCAACTCCTGCGCTGGCCCAGTAGTCTCTCTTGTCACTGGGGGAGAAGAGCACAGGTCACATCCTGCTGTGTCCTGGGCTGTGGGACACAGATCAGGTCCCCTCAGCTCAGCCCAAGCCAATGATCCCCAGTATCTCTGTTTGGGGAGACTCTGCTCCCCATGTTTGGACTGGGCAATGCTCCAGGCTGGTGACCCTCCAGCCAGCCCCATGCCTCCCTCCTGAGGAGGCACTTACCTGTGAGCTCCTGGATCTGCTTTGCATAGGCTCTCAGCTGCTTCTGGAGCTTCAGTGTGGTCCTCTCCTGTTTCTCCAGCTTCTGGGCCAGCTCCTGGGCAGGGACAGCCCCAGTAGGGCTCAGCCAGCCTCGCTCAGCTGGACACCCCCACCAGCACCCACTAAGTGGGAAGAGAGCTGCGGGGGGATGCAGCAAGGTATCCCACATTGCTGCAGCTTGCCGCAGGACAAAAGGGGTGGAAACCAGCCCCAAGCCCAGTCCTGCTTGCCCACCCTCTCCCCCTGCCTTACCCAGTTCTCCTCCTTGAGCTGCAGGACATGGTGCTGCAGCCCCTCCTGCCCCTGGTGCCGCTGCAGGTCCTGGATGAGGGCTGCCTGCTGCTGGCTCAGCTGCTTGAGTGAGCAGATGTTGAGGTGCAGCCCTTCTACCTCCTCCTCATGCTGCTGCTTCTCCTCCCGCAGCTGACTCGCCAGCAGCCTGCACACATACGCCCGGGGAAACTGAGGCACCAACCTCCTTCAGCTGCCACACCCCATCCGCTGGGGAGGCTGCTGAGGAGGTATTTCTCCCCTGAAGCCTCAGCGCTGGGAACCCTTTGCCCCCTGTCCCGGCACCCAGCACGGAGCAGCTGGGCTGGCAGAGCATCTCCCCTTGAACTGCACATGGGGAACAGGCTGCACCAGCCCTGCCCTCTTCGGAGGCTCCTGTTGAGCCCAGGACATCCAGTGGGGGTGCCTGTTTTCAGAGCAAGGTGGGATGCTCCAGTCCCCCTAGGAAAACACAGCTGGGTGGGCTGGGGAGAAGGGAAGCAGAGCCAGGGCCACCCCACACGCAGCTGGGCAGCGAGGGGCAGAGTGCCCTTGCTCTCCCAGCCCAGCTGGGGCTACAGTGTCCATAGCACGCGAGGAGGTGGCTGCTTCAAAGAGGATTTGCTGCTGCCTAGCACCACACCCTGCAGAGGCCAGGCAGCTGCAATCCAAGCCATGGCTGGCTACCACACCAGGGAAAGCCCCATGAGCAGCATGGATCCAGCAGCCCATTGCAGGGAAATCTGTCCTCAGCTGGGAACCATCTCCCATGGGATCACACTCACCTATTGGCAACCTGCACTGCATCATACGCATGCTTCAAGTCATCATCCACCGCCACCTTCTCGGGGCTCCTGCCCAGCCCCAGCAACTCAGCTATGTTCTGCAGGGAGAGGAGAGCAGGGTGAGGCCAGCCCCCCCAGCCTGGATCTGGCCCTGCTCACGGCAGTGGGACTCACCCTGCACTTGAGGAAGTCCAATGGTTTCCTCTCCTCCAGCTCCACGGGGGCCTTGGACCTTCGCAGCTCTTCTCTCGTCCGGGCCAGCTCCTCGTTAACAGCCTTGAGCCGCCCCAGGAGGAGAAGGTATGCCTTCTCGAAGGGATCCTGGCCCACACCGCTGTTCAGTGGCACCTCACGGCTGGGCTGGGGCTGTGGCCCCTCCGGCACTGGCTGCCAGTGCTCCAAAAAACAAGGTTCGGGCACCAGCACTGGAACACCTGCAGACACGCCTCCCCGATGGGACCAGCTCCCAGCCAGGAGCCCCAGCGTACAGCTGTCCCCACAGCCAGGGGAAGGGACAATCCACTCATCACCCCCACCCCACTGTCCCCACCAGTGTCACCACTAGCCTCAGCTTGCTGGTCAGACCCATCTCGTGAGGGAGCTGTGGACATGGAGGACAAGTAGCTGCTCTCGGAGCCCAAGAAGCTCTCTGACGAAGGGGACCGTCTCAAGGTGCTTTGCTGGATGGGGAGAGAAGGACAAAGTTGTTCCCCTGCACCCCAAGCACCTGCTGGCACATCAGGAGGGGCAGAGCAGCAATAGCCTCAGGAGGATGCCTTGACTTGGGGATCCCCCACGCATGTGAGCTGGGAAGCCCAGTTCTCCCACAAAGGGTGCCCTGGACCAGCCAGCACTGCTGCTCCCCACAAGGAGCCAAAGGAGGGGTTGCCCTGAGCCTCCCTGTGTCCCTGCCAGCCCCTCACCCTGTGGAAGGCCACTTCATCCTGTAGGTTCTCATAGCCCTGCTCCAGGCGGGCATACTCCTGCACCAGGCTCTGGTAGCGGGCCCGCTCCTCCTCCAGCTCCTGCAGAAGCCCCTGGCTCTCCCGTGCCGCACGCTTGTGCTGCTCTGTGGGGACAGACACAGCAGGGATTGGGGGACAGACAAAGCCAGGACCCCTCTGTGAGGGGTCGTGCAGGAGCACACCAAGCCTGCAGGACCCAGGGGAATGGGATGAGGGGCTCAGAGGGCCCCTTTTACCTTCCAGATCCTGTGACTGCTCCACTATGCGCTGGACCAGTGCATCCCTCTCCTCACCCAGCTGCAGCTTCATGGCTTCCACCTCTGCCAAGCGCTGTGGGAAAGCAGAGGAGCAGGTACAGCCACAGCCCTGCCTGAGGCCACTCCTGGCTGCCAGAGGTCTTCTCCAGGGACTACCCCACAGCATGAAGCTCAGCACGCTGCCAGGTCCCTGGAGAGCCCCGTGGAGCCCCAGCAGAGCAAGAACATCCCCCGGACAAACTGACCTGCCTGAGCTCCTCAACCTCCCGGTCCAGGCAGCTCTTCATGCTGTGCCTTTCCAGCTCAGCCAGCCGTTTCTGCAGCTGCTGGACCTGGGCATCGCGGGCTGCATCCTCCCGCAGCCGCTGCATCTCAGCCCGCAGCCGCTGCACCTCTTCAGCGTGGGCACTGTTCAGCCCCAAGAGCTGCTCCTCCAGCCGCTGCTTCTCCTGGGCCTTGGGTGGAGCACGTCAGACAGGTGGCCAGAAACAAAAGGCACATTCCCCACATGTCTCCCATCAGTAAAAGCCTGTGCATACTCAGGCTGCCCTTCTGCAGTGAACCTGGATACCCCATTTTCCACCCACCTCTTTGGGGCCCTGAGCCTCCGGCATTCACCTCAAGCAGAGCTCAGGCCTGGGAGAGTAGCTCTCCGTGACTTGCCATCCCACATGGACCCACGCACGAGCTTGGCCACGGCTTTACAGCCCATTACTCACCTCCAGACCAGCCCCAACAGCAGGATTTTCCAAGCCCTGCTTCCCCCAACCTCCAGAGACGGGATCACACCACACGAGCCCTCCCTCCCCCTCCACAGACACCCCCAGAAACGGAGTGGTGGCAGCCAAAGCAGAGACACTCACCCAGATGGTGACAGCAGACGCAGCCAGCAGGAGCGTGGTGGGACAACACGCCATGCCAGAACTGTTCCCAGCACACGACGGTGCCGCAAGGCTGCACCCAACCAAGCACCCAAGGGGGTGCCAAGCCCATCCCCAGGGCCACCAGCCCCACATCCATAGGGAGCATCGAAAATCCAGGAATGACACCCAGATGCATGACTCCTGCCTGGGGACACGCGTCAGGCAGGGTTCAGCTCCCCCCTCCCAGGGCCAGGAGAGGACTGGAGACAAGGGCAGGCATGGTTTTGGCTGCACAGGGACTGGAGACAAGTGGTCAGCAACAAGCAGGTGCCCGGGGACACATGGAGGGCTGAAGCCAGCACCCACCTGCTCATCCAGCCTGCACTGCAGCTGGATCACCTTGATCTCCATGCCCTTGTGCAGCTGCTTGTAGTGCTCCACCGAGCGTGCCTCGACACGCAGCCGCCGCAGCT